AATATGTCAACAAGTAGCGACAAACAATACTTAAGCCGGAGTTCTTGGATTCCTTTTGCATGCATGGAAAATACCCCCTGAAAACCAGAGACCGTTTCATTGCAAGTGGTCATGAATTAAACCAAAAGAAGATATGCTTTTTAACTAAATCATATATTTTATAAAGAATTAAACTGTGCTTTTGCATGGGTCATAAATCATCTTTGAGTGACTTGTCAGAGCAATGTTTTTCATGTCCATTATTTCACTTCAATTTAAGCTGATCTTGAACTGTGGACAGGGTTTATGCCACATACCATGTCTTTTTAGGACTATTTCATCAAATAAATACCACAATTTAGTGAATATGAGCCTGTGTAGGGATACAACTCCATTTCCCCCTGTTTGTCGAGGCGCAGAGCTCTGACTCCACTGTGCTCTGAGAGGTGTAGTTTAATTGCCGTTGCTGACAGGAGATTTGTGAATCAACACGAACCCTCCAAAGTAAACTGGGCTTTCAGACACAGTCTCTCGTATTTCTGCAAATATTCTGTGTTCACATGAGAGAGCCAAATTAAACAGGAGCCAGTAACCCTCCACAGCTCTGAGGCCACTGCAGGTACATGTGTGCCCCATCAATTTGGAGATGTGGGACTGCTATTGTTATTACTTTAGTTCATCTGCTTTTCTGCAAATTCAAGTCCTTAGCTGGCTGGGCTGGATGGAGCCTTTGTATCCAGAGATGTCATGTTTGACTTAAAGGAGTGTATGACGTATAGTTGACAACATCTGTGTGTGTTTTGAACTAAAGCTAAATTTGAACATTCATATTGCATCTTTTTTCTTTTGGTGAAGATTTGAGCTCAGCAATGCATGTTTTTCAATGAAATTCAAAGGTATTTTTATATAGCTCTACTTTGACTTTACAAAGTTGTAGATATTTAACACAGATCAGAGAATCAAACAGTTGGAAGACTAATAACAAACACATTGATCCATATCGATCCTCAGAAATGTACCGGATCATCCCCACTATCAAAAACTCGAAACACCAGTGGGAAAAAGTGAGAAAACTCAGGGAGGACCAATTTGAGAGAAGGATCCACTCCCACTGATAGATCCAGTACACACTGTATTGCTCTGTGTTTTCTTCTACCTCTGATGCCCAAGACAAATCTCTTCATCTTGAGACAGAAAGTTTGAAAAATGTACACCCCATATTGTATAAAACACCACACAGAAAGTACATAAGAATCACCTGATGCTGTGACACAAGACAGGAGTCCTTTACTTTAGCTGCAGGACTTGAATCTTTTAACGTGAGCTTTCCAAAAACATGAGTTTCTTTCTTAGTTGCTGTTCGTAATTGTCATACATTTTTGATGGGTGAAATACAGACCACAGATTCATTAAACTAGAAAGCTGTGTTTGTTTAAGTTTCCCCTTTAATGCTGCCTCATCCTGCATTTCTTACATTTGAAATTCTCACAAAGCTCTCTGCATCTGGCCTGAGGATAGTGTCTTTTGCATTGTGTACCGTGTGTCTGCTGCGCACTTGATTTCCCTATGCAAAGTTTAGGGCTTTAACTTGACATTATTATCCAGTTTAGAGGGGCCTCTTTATGCTAAGTCAATTAAGGGAGAGTGGAACGCTGCTTGGATCCACGGCAAGCGCAGAGAGGAGAGATTTCAAATACAAACAAGCCCTTTAACAAGAGCACCATCCCAAAGAATTCATTTTGAAGACAATGCATAAATCTACATCTAAATCTGAAATCGTTCCCACAAAAATGTCACATCCCAGAGTCGGTCTATGGCATCCCATCACTGAGAAAATAGTCTATTCTACATGATAAATAGTGTCATTTTATAGGGAAGAGATATTTTATTTAAACATGACAAACATCAGAATGACAAGACAGGAGAATAAGGATGTCACTGCTAAACATTTGAAAGATGAAACCGCATTTTCAGCTTTAATTTGTCATTGACATTGTCAGCGATTCACAGCCTGCTGCCTTTTCCTCTCAACCAATCATCTCTCAAACTGTTCAGCCATACTTGCCAAAGTCTTCACCAATGTTGTCTCAAGGCTCTGAAAAGAGATCAGCCAGCATCTGGGGAGAAGCCCTATAATGGATCGTTTGAATGTATTGCTGAAGAAAGAGCTTCCCTCACCACTCACCAAACTCAACGGCAAGAACAGCAAGTAAGGTCTAAATGAACAACAATAAGGGGATTTAAAATGCACAATCCACTTTTCACAGCTGACCATGTTCCAGTTATTTTTGTCCCCCATTTACACACCCGCAGAGGCTTTTAGAGCAATTAAGTCATTCTAATATATAAATAAAGCCATTGCTCTCCCCTTACTCCGCTGACCACGACCACATAGCCACGTCTTACTTTTAGCTGTCAATTTTCTTTTATGATTCCGTGATATGCTGATATTTGCTAGTATTGCACTGTCTTACTGGATCTGCAATGGAGCAGTGCCTTGTGAGTTCTAGCGAAAACCATACCCTGGGTTTGAGAATTGTGTGGACTTGGACTTGAAAATGTATATTTCTAAAATTAAAATATTTCCACACATTAACTAAATATTTTATGAAGAGCCACGAGTGATTATCATATACAGAAAAAAACACTAATGTTTATGTAAGTGTAATATAAATTGATATATATATAACAGAGTTGGTATAGCCACTTGGTGGAGCAGGACAGGTCACAGTAGAGGTGAATATATGTATGTAATATTGCACAGAGTTAACCAAAACTACGTGTTTATCAGCTCAAAGTTGAGAGTAGTTGTGTGTGTTCTCTTGTATCTTACAGTTGCCCATTCTGGTCCATTTTTTACTTAATGACACAGTTGGAGCTCAGGCGTTTAAACCCTATGTTCCCATAATAATCTAAGTCTGTTCAAAGTTATGTATGGAACATAACATTGAAACAGCTTTTGGCTTTATATAAACAGCATATGGTGAAACTGTTTTAAATAAATCCAAGACATACTTTTATAAGACATCTCATAATTGTACATATTTTGCATCTTTAACGTCAATCTTTATTTACAAAGAAAAGCAATTCATTGTCCTGAAAGAAGACATCAGCTTTTGGCGCATTGTGTTGCTTTACAATAAATAATTCTTGCACAAAAACATTCGGATTTCAAAAGGCAGATCACTTGGAAAAATCTCCCAATCGAAATGTGTAAAAAGGCAGCATCCGTGAGTATGTAGGAGGCTAAGGAACAAGCGCTGGTTAGCATGTATGTGTATCGCAGCGTCATTGGATTAAAGGCTATTGTGGAGAGGCAAAGGCGCACTGTGGCTTTCATTTGGGTCGATTTAGGTCCTTTTCTTTGCAAATGAAATTATTGCCGTCTATTGGAATGTGAGATTTTCATAAACACACTAGTCTTCACGCTATCAGCCGCTCGCAGCCCCCCGCTTTTGTTTGCTGTGTCGGGAGCATTGTAATCAAAGGTATATGGCTTTGGCTTGGAAATTTGGAGCTCCTCCATGTGCGCCCCTGTCAATGGGAAATCTCCACTCTCTTTATCAACACATAGATTAGGAGAGAGTCAGCGGGTAAACCCACGCCTGCCTTTGGCCTCCTTACCTTTTTAAAGGGAAAGTAAAAGAACATTTGTGTCAATGCTAGGTGCTACTGCTAAGAACACGTCAGTACTTAAAGCAGTTTTGCCGCTTCAAAGCTACAGTATATGTTGGTAAATGTCATACTTAATGTTGATTATATGTTTTTCTCACATTAGACATATGTAAGATTGTATGGTTATTTTAAAATAGTACTAATGCATTCAGTTTTTAGGGACATTTGAAATAATCAGGCATAAGTGCATAAAAATAATCTTGTGATGAACAATCGAGGCTTGTTTTTACCTTAAAACTTGACAGAGCCACACAAGATGCATTAGTAGATGGATGGGGTATGCTTTTAACATCCAGAACTTTTATTCAGTAATAAAACTACACTGTTTGGTTGCTTACGTCTGAGAATATACGTACTGTAGGTAAAGGGAAAGTGATGTAAATTGATTCTGCTAATGACAAAAATGGTTTGGCTTTCTCTGAGACAGTTGGGCTGAGGGTCCACTACTCACGCTATAACACAAAGGTAAGTATAAGCCTTTCTGTGTGAGTTTGCATTGTCTGGCGTTTGTGTGTAGTGGGATGGTGCAGGGGTATTCAACTCGGCCCTCAAAGATAAAGTCCGGTCTTAACTTGGAGACTTGAGGAAATGGCTGCAGAGTGGCGTGGGCCTGCTTGATTGGAGTAAAAATCCGCAGCCACTCGGCTCTTTGAGGACCATGATGCATGAGCCAGGATTACCGGGTAATTAAAATGCACAAGTGATTTTCCACAGTATTTTACCAGTTTCCATGAGATACATGTATGTTTGAGTAATTTATAGACTTATTGTTCCCCTGTAGCTCCTCTCACACCACAACACGACTGCACGATGAGCACAAAATTGAACTTAAACACTTTAGTTCATTTTTAAGTAAAGTTAATCTGTGAAATAGGTTCCTGTGTGCCAGCTTCATTTCCCACTCGGTCCTGTCCGAAGCTGAAGATCTGGGCCCTGGTTCAAAGCAGAAGCATTGACAATGTGTCATTTCCACATCTAGTCTAATCTTACCCTGTCTTCATGTACTGATTGCTGAAATTGTTTGTATCATAACATCTTTGGTCCGGTCGGCATAGTCATTGAACTGTCAAACTTGACAAACTGAAGTTAGATCAGTTTGCTTACTTATAACCCAACATATTTCCTTGGATCTTTTTGATTTTCTGCTTCACTAACAGCATGAATGCACGATGGACAATGTGACTGCTGGACCTTGGACTTGACATTCAGTGAAGCCTCTCTATGTTCAGGTCACATCTCTGGTCTCTGATAAGGACAGTTCTGTAGCTGGTTTACTCTGCTGCTCTCAGACAGACAGCGCAGTAGATAGTGAGCGGTGTTAAACGACTGCCGCTGGAGCCTGGCTGATGGGATTTGGAGTAAACTGGTCCGGAGTTGCTCACGGACTCGGCTGCAGGAGAGTGAGTATTGGTTTCATCTTTCTGACAGTGCGTCCATTGACTATAGGGATCGTTTTCTGATTAAGCCCCTGGCCCCTAATCCTGCCTGCCGTTTGAAACCAGTTTACACTCTCCTCCATCCACAAAAAAAAAAACAGTTTGTCAGAAGATGCTTGCTCTTCATCTTTGCTCTCTCCATCCCCAACTCGCCTGTCTCTTTATCAATGACTCTACCACTCTTGACACTAAAGACTTCACTTCAAATGAGCTTCGAAATCCGTTTTTTTTTTCTCACTTTGGGCAGCCCATTCCACCGCTTTGTTTTGTCTGTGTGTTTGAGCAGAGGCGAAGGGTAGTGCGGCGCATAGCCTCACAGTTGCCTTTGTTCCTCTGCCCTCTGGCCCTCGCTGCCCGGGCGGACGGGACCACGGGGGAGCCAGCGAGACCAGATCAAAAGTCCGGCGTCAACCAGTATCGCTACCTGGCCCCTAAAGATGCCCCCTAGCAGTTGCAATTAAATCAGCCTGCACGCTAAAAATTTCCTGCTACCGTCAATCAAAATAATTTAGCCGGGCACGGTGGCTTTCTTAAAGGCGCACTGCTGCTTTTCTGACGGGCCTGTCCACTTAATTTCAAAGCTCTTTATTCAAATCAGGGCCGAGGAGGAAGCACCGCAACCGGGATCCTTATCCTCTAGCCTGCAGTTGTCTTCAAAAATATGTTGGAGGAGGAGGTGGAGGAGAGACTGAGAGAGGGAGTGGGGAAGTGGGGGGCAGATAGAGGGAAGAGAAAAGAGGCACCCGGTGAGGCAGTGTGTCATTTGAATAATACGCTGGACACTTTCAATCTCCAACAACATAAGAGGGAAGGTTTTAATGCGCCTGGTGCCAAGGAAGCACGCTCACACATACACACGAGCGTGCTGGCCCTGGTCGCTTCAGAAGAGAGGAGTTTAAAATGTGAGACTAAGTCAGATGGAGGTTAAACTCTAAAGTTGTCGGTGGTGCCCAAAAAATTGGTTGAATTTCAGGGCCTAGACAAGTTATTTTGGTCAAATACTGTCAAAAGAGTCAAACTGTCCGGGTATGAGAGGAACCTGTTGGGTACAATGTACAAGGTGAATGGGCCTTTCTGTGTAAATTGAGAAGAAACTCCCACAAGTTACTGCCTGAAACAGGTATTAAGTTACCTCCAAAAAATCTATCTTGACTTGACCCATACAGTTTTGTGGAAGGGCTATGGCACAGGAGTGCCAGGACTCTCAAATGTTTGGAATTTGTTAGTGTAATCTAGACCAAAGTCTAAAACAGGACTAATCTAAGTTGTTCTAAAACAGTCCAGGCTACACCAATGGAAATGTCTGGATAGAGGAAAGTCTGGGAGCCCATCTGCATGATCGAGCAGATTTTTTTTAATGAATGTTTAATGGTGATGTTGTGTTATTTGTGTGTAAAAACAAAAGGACGGTCCAATATCAAAATAGTTATCAAAAAGTGTATTAGTTTGATCAATACATATACCCTAACCCTAACCCTTACACTTTGAGTTGCCTTGTGTATGAATTGTACTATACAAATAAACTTGCCTTGCCTTGCCTTACATTGTGGTCCAAAGAGTTAACAATTTCAAATTTAAGAGCACATTTTAAATTCTTATCTTATTTGCACCTCATGAAGAGTTTTTTGGTGGACAATACATCATTTTTTTTGTATGTGTGTTAAGTATATTATTCATTTTTTGGCTCTCCCCCAGTCAGCAGTATATGACTAAACCATCTGACATTCTATTGTTTTGTTCTCTTTTGATTTGGATTGTTTTTGTTTATTTTTGTTATCTTATTTTTTTGTATTTTCTGGGACTCAAAGGCGTTCCCAGGGCAGAATCTTGACCAGGGGTGATTATCTTTTTGACAATGGCTTTATAAACACTTTGCAAGTCCATTCTGCACCAAGTCCATCCTTTGTTTTTACTGATTTAGGAGGGACTAAGGACAGGAGACTACTCAGGTTTTATACCCATTGGGTTAACCTCCAAGGACTAATGACTCTTAGGTGTTTTATGGCTGTATTTCTTATGTGTGTATGTGCTGTTGGCATATAGACACATCTTTGAGACAAAAGCTGTAGTAATTTTCAGGTGTAACAAACATACTTTGAATAGAATTTAAATGAACCGAGACTGAAATGAGAGTAAAGTAGGACATGCATGGTAAACAAAAAAAAAAGAAAGCCAATACCGTCCATGTCCACTCTACTTCTTTTTTATTAGCATGCCCACAGACACCGGAGCTTTGATGAATGATGACAAACTGTTTGGCTGCGAGCTCGGCAGACTGTACTCAGCATAATCCACAAACACTGAGGAATTGTATATGCAGGAACTCAAATCTGGCTCCTTTCCATTTATATTACGCAGAGTTAAGTGACAGCATCTCACCGCAGCTCGCCTCTGCAGCCATTCTTTGTTCTAAAGAAGGACTCTGGCCATTGTTCACAAGTGTCCTTACAGCATAAATCATGAGTAGTCATCAGACTAGACTGTATTTTCTCTTTTTTTTCTGTAAAATCTTCAAACAGCAGGGTGCATCTTACAGCTTTTGTGCTATATAGCTTGACAGACAGTGGGCCATTGTTACCTGATGTAGACAAAGGTGCGTTTACATGTTTTTCATGTATTGTTTAAGGTTTTTCTTCTGTCACAAATACCAGAAAACATATATCATGGTTGACAGTTGAGAGAGCAGCTGTAGTGTGTCGTGGTGTGATGTCGACAGCGTTCATGACCATTTATTTATTAATTAAAGTGATTGTCTGGAACTCTAAATGAATTAAACATTTTAAGAATTGTATTAAATTAACCTCCTGCGCTTAAATGTTGATATAAAATAAGTCATTTTATGAATTCTAATATTACGCGTAAGTCCCGCCTTCTTTTCTCTCAGCTATAGCTCAATGTCCACGATGCCGTCCACGTTAACCAATCAAGTAATGCCAAGGGCTGTCAATCATCGCTCTGATGCTCGCAGCTCCGCGCATGCTCAGTTGTTTGTTTTCACGGAGCCTCCGAATCAAGCCTCCATTAGGCTCTGGAACTACATGAAAACTGAACAAAGAATTCTGAACATCCGCGCTGAGTTACCCATTTATATACTGAACCTATATCCATAATCATTTATATACTGAACCTATATCCATAATAATTTATATACTGAACCTATATCCATAATCATTTATATACTGAACCTGCTATATCCATAATCATTTATATACTGAACCTATATCCATAATCATTTATATTCTGAACCTATATCCATAATCAGATCCTCTGCAGATGTGTCCTATAATGTTCAATTAATGATAATAGCTACTGTACTTCCGGGTTTACCGCGATCGCTTTTTTCATGCATTAAAACATTATTCTTGTCATAAAAACGTTAAATAATTCTTAAAACCTCCGTGCATGTGTTTTTATAATTTTTATTTATAATGTGTTCTCAGATTAACATTTAAATGTGTTGATTGATTGCTACGGAAACGTAGGCGTAGACCAATCAGAAAGGAAGGGGGAGGGAGCTTGGGTCGTTTTTTTCAAATCACGTACCTCTCTCTCTTTTTCTGACAAACTCCAGACAATCACTTTTATGATCCACTTAGTATAAATCCACCAGAAGAACAGGTTAGAATATGTTAGTATTTGATTGGCCTGGCTTCTAATAAATTACTTCATGCAACCGTATCAATGATCATTTTTGCATTTGAGTGGGTGAGAATATAAACATTACAATACTCCACTTCCATTCCTACTGGCAACATTATGTGGAAAAAAACATATTGGTACAAATAAGCATTGATGTCGTTATAATAATGCATTGGTTTAACAATGCACTTATCTGGACATTACTGCTCTGATCTACAACTGTAACCACAACTGCCCTGGGACAGACTGATTGAATATAGTTGTATAACAATTCTAATGACTTTAAAATAGTAGTAATTCAATATATTGAGATATTTTTAGTCTCTAACTCAAACCCTATGTTAACATATTAGTTTTGTCAAATGTGTGTTCATTAGTGAATAATAAAAACTGTTATTTAGGTACTGCAACAGGGAATATAATACACTATCGTGTTACTCCCAACACTGCAATTTATTTTAGCATAATAATTATGGTCTCATTCACATAAACAATAAGTCATAAACTGAATTATCTTTTCCTTCAGCAGAAACAATAATAATATTATGTTAAACTAGAGTATCACTTCAAAGCATTCTCAAAACTGATAGATGTGATTGTTGTGTGTTTGCATCTGACAATACAAGTTCTCAAACATCTTAAACATTCTCGCTTGAAGAGCTGTCAGACCCATGCCTTGTAATTATTATTTGCATATAAAACACCTGAATGCATTGTTTTTTTGCTCCAGGACTTGAAACTGGTTCCGTGACCTCGCACTGTCCTCAAGTGTGAGAGGAGGGAGTGCCAGCGATAGTACATTCCAGCCTTCTGGGCAGATCCCCCTGAGTACAGCTTAAAATAATCACCAAAATACAGTTGACATGTTAATTGAATGTCAGAGTACAATGGTGAATGGACTGGAAATACTTTACTTTAATAGCAAGGTGAAATAATCTGATTGTTTTACACCGGGAGAGGCGCCTTTGCTTTTTTCTCCTTGTAATAACTGCTCAGGCCTGCTCACATTTTTCTCTTCGCAGTAAGTAACTATCAAAAAAGAGAGATTCATCAATGACAGAGAAAACAATGAAATCTGCAGGCGAGGGACTATTTTTATCTAAATATACACTTAAATACATTTAACTGACCAGGAGGAGGAGTATGCAATAAACCAAGATAAAGTACAGCAGAAGTACTTTGATTTGAGCGTCTAGGAACCCAAAACAAAATGGACTCTTCTATAAATCATGATAACGCCCTGACTGTGGGGAGAAAAAGAAGAAGGCAATAAAGCAGATAAAAACATCTGCAGAGAAAAGTGAAATTGTCACAGTAGAAGCAGTTTGCATACATTGGCACACCGTTCGTATGTACCTGGAAAGTTGCCAGTCGCTTGTCAAATTTAATTATAAGTTCTATTGAGCTGGAACTGATGAAAACTGGTCCGGCCCTAAGCTGGAGCCCTGGGGCGCCCCTTTGGCGGAGACATCAGATGCTGCCGGACCAGTCATGACAGAAAAATCCTGCTTGAATTCCTGTTTTGTGGTCAAATCAAATGCGTCAAGGTCAACGTAGTTATAGCTGTCGTGACAGTGTTGTATAATTATGTGTTATTTTTCTCACAGAAAGACAGCTATGAATGTATAATAAGGTTTAACTAATTTTTAACGTTAATGTTTGTAGAGCAGGCTCAGGACATGTATTATTTTCAGTGTATACTATTTTTTCCATGTATTATTTTAGACCTTTCAATACTTATTATAGTATTTTCACATTTTAATATTCTACTCTTTATTTTATTATTCTAGTATCTGCATTGTTTAGTCT